ATCCCCAGGCCAGTCGGCATCTACGGATGTATATTGGTTGACACCATCCGCGTATTTGTTATAGCATTCTTTTTCCCCTTTCATCCAATTTTCAAGGATTCGTTAGAGTTGAGACACAGTAGTATTGATATTCGGCGTGGTTTGGTTATTAGTTAGGTTTCCTATTGCGCCAATTTCTCGGTTAACCTCAACCTTAATTGATACTTCCTCTTCTGACCCTGCTCCAGAACAGTATATCTTCACAAAACAAACGCTGATAGCTGCTGGGGTGCCCACTGGTGGGCATATCGCTAGTGCAGCACCCTCAAAGCAGTAAGTGATGAAAAACCCAGACAAAGCGCTTCTTTCATACATCTCAATTTTTTAGAGGAAAATGGCCAGCCATCTTTTCAATTTTGTCTTGACATCTACACCAAAGAACGATGTCATCTACCAGAACAAAGATCGTTGCATCAACTAATCCTCGACATACAGAAAGTTTTGCTGATTTTAGCAATTCTTCTTCAGTTAAGAAAGAGCTCAGTTTCTGGTATCGGTCTCTTTCTGTTTACCGCAGAACATGGAGACTTCGTTCAAGCAAACACACCTGTTTTCCGGCGCTATTGAAGAACTCTGGCGGCTTCATCTATATTGTCATTGATAGAGGAGAAATAAGAAAAGCTCACTTCACCTATATGTGATGAAGTAATAGATCATCATGTGCTTCCCGGTGCAGTGGTATCCTCTTCGTTTCGGGCTCACAACTCAAGCAAACAAATCGTTGAAATCTATTCCTTCCACTTGCACGGAATGAATACGACATCTTTACTAAACATCGGGCTTTGACCCGCTCCACCTGTCCCGACCTCTCATCGTCTACTAACAAGTCTATTTTCCATGGATTCTAGAAACTATACCGCCGCCACTGCTCCTTCCAGATCTTAACACTATTTCTGAACAGCCCTTTGGCTCTTGAATTCCAATCACTGTAGCATGAGTGTAGGCAAGTCCGTATCAAATGGCTGGAATTGGCGACCTACTGACATGTGCTCTTGACACTATATCATATGTGAACTTATTGGTTTCTTCTCTCACTGATCGTATTCAGTAGCCTCCACTGAATCTGCAATAATTTTGTCAGTTGGTACGCGTGTTGTTTCGACGGTCGGTGACATGCTTGGATGCTCATTGTCAAGGCACCCATCTGTTGATAGCTCCAGGGTTTGAAATGGCCCACTGTCAGCCATGAATTTGTCTGGAATGATATCTCATTAAATGCCCCGCTTTAATATCGTTCCATCCGTCTTGTCTATTTTTTCATCAGCAAGTAGTTTTTGCTCTTCTCATCGAGCCTATGATAAAACCTTTTTTACCTTTTGGTTTTAGTTTTGTCTGTGCATACAGATTTAGTTTTTGGTTTTAGTTTGTGCATATCGATCAGTGAAAGGAGCTCATTGTTGCTGGACATCGGACACAGGTTTAGAACCCCTCCCAATTTCGGGCAACAGTATCGAGTTTGCTTGCACCCGACTTTGGTATCTTTTTTTCCGGCCAGTAGAGAAAACGCGCTGCTTAATCTAGCTAGTGTGAAAAACTGGGCACCTCAACTTCCTACTGCACCTAGTATTCTCTACAAAATCTCATAAATGTCCAGAATACAAACCTTTTTTATCAGCTTGCAGGCACTTTGGCCTTTCATGCTCAGACTGAAAACTCTAGGAGTTCAGTTTGACATGACTTCTTCGGCGGGTAAAGGGGCAAAGCCAGCCAACTGAATTTTCTCATGCATGCTCGGTACTTCCTTTAGTCCCTGGATATCATTGAAAAACCGTTGTCCCAGTGCCGTTGCTCTGTGCCACAGCAGCTGCTTCATGCTTTAAAGAAGCTGTCAACTTTTCACAGAACTCTAGCTTGTCCACATGGACCAGAAATGAATGATCCTGCTTGTTGAGCAGCTCCAATCGGCGTTACCACTACTTTGCATCACTGGTCTCCATTTCTGTCTGGGTAACTAGAGTCAATGGGTTCGACCTGATATTGCTCTACAGATTGAAACTCTTGCCATGCTACTTCACAAGTAGCTTTCAACCATCTCGTGCCAGCAGATGAGAAGACTCAACGGCAAAACTAAACTTTGGCCCTCTATTTAACTCTGAGCCCACGCTCATCATAATTACCTTGTAGATAGGCACAACAGCGTGTATTGGAAAGTGTAGCTCCTCATAGCTTCTAGGCAGCTTTTATTAACCTTTTCCACTAATTCCTCACCTTTATTCCTTAACAGTGCTCCTTTGGGGTTCTCCGCCCTTTTTTGTTCCAGCTGACAGAGCGCAAACACACTGCACTGTCGAACATAAAAAAAAACGAAGCATCCTTTATCCACAATGAGACCAATTCCCTTCATTGGAGGTGGTGCACAACAACTGAATAACACTGTCCTCTCCAACTTGCAGTTCTTTGCGAATCTTTTAGTTTGCGCACATTCGAGGCAACCTTGCGTCTTTACTTCTGACCCACTTGCTTCGGTCGACTTGCTACCATCACTTCTTCATTTCCAATCTTTCGCCACATAACCTTACCGACCGAACTCGTAGCAGCCATTGCTTGACTCTCTGTTCCTCTTCTTCACACTTTGCATGGCTATGTGACTTGCTCAGCCCTCCTTGCAGAATTGAGTTTCTTTGACATATTTTAGTTCTTCAATCTCAATTTCAGCTCCGGAAACGTCTTGGCTGGCTTAGATCTCTCAAGCACAAAAAAACTCATAGCTGTCCGGTAACCAAAGATCAACAAGTTATTGAAAAGTGTGTCCGTGATTGCTTCTCGAGTATCCCTCAACCGTGTCGTCAGCTCATGGCAGCGAACAATGTAACCATCGTTATCATCTGCCTCTGATCCTACACGCAGCTTCGCAGGCTGGTCTTCTGGTTTGACCACCTTTGGCATCTCTAAACTACAAACAATCTCTTGAAACAGCTTCCAGGCCTACATCCAATCCGTTTACACAAAGCAGTCCGTTTACACAAAGACGTTCTTTAAGTGCATCGAAAAGGCGTGGGTTAGAACCAGAGCCAGATAACCAGATGCGACACAGTGCTGCGTTTGTCTTTCATCTGCTCGATCAATACATCCCGTTCCTGCGTCTTGGTCCCGTTGGCGGCTCTAATCAGCCATCGGAATCCCGAGGAAAATAGACTCATTATCCGGAAGATCAATTTTGCTTATCACTGGCATGAAGAGGCCCATGTTGTGCTTCAGCACCGAGCAGGATTTTTTTCGATTTTTCACTGAATTAAGCCAGTTTGAATTCCATAATTGCTAAGGCTTCTAGTTAAAAGCCAAAACACTAACAAAAATTTTTTTTAAAAATAGAAATCTGGCTTTAACACTAGTTTGTTCAGTTTTGACCTCCGAACTGTTTTTTCTTCATATAATCTATTTGACCTTAAAATCGTCTGACCACGATTTTGGTTAAATACCAATATGAGGTCAAAATGTGCAGTTTTTGAAATGAAAGCGAATTTGGCAACAAGATTAAAACGGACTTGTTGCGAAATGAGTAGAACTGTAAACGTTTTTGAGCTTTTTTGCTGGTTTCCCTTTAACAATTAACGAAATGCTGTATTGCTATAAATTGCTCCAAAAACAAGCGAACTCAGGAAATTGGCAGCAAAATGTGCGGATTCCGCAACAAAATCTGCAAAATCCTGAACAGTATATAGATTCCAAAAACAAACAAAATTGTATGCGGATATTTGAATTGCGCTGGCGTGTGAACCTCAATTGTAAATGGAATCTGAAATTTGTATGCGGAAACCGCTTAGGTTTGCGAAATCCGCCTACAATGTGCAGTTTTCTCGTAGTTTTGCGGACCCTGGAACAGCTAACTGTAATCGTTTGTCGCACACTCCGCGGCAAAGCTAGAGTACCGAAAAAAATAACGTTACGGCTATTCGTGCGCAGAGTCTACTTACTTTTTTTTACTATATTTTAAAACCTACCGACACGAAATTGTGCGTTAATCCAGTGCACAGCTTAGAAACGTAATGATGTGATCTTTGTTCTGAAAGTTTCCATGCATAGTGATCCATCAAAAGCAGAAAAAAATGAAACTTAATATTGGACTGAAAGCTAAGTTTGGAGAATGTAGTTCTGCCTGCCCACTCAAACTAGATTGTTTACTGCCTAAAAGACATTTACAAAGTCATTAATTTTTAAAGTTACGCTATATAGTCTTATAATTGAATTTGTGAATGGTTTTTTGGAAACGTATTTAAATTTACCTCATATAAGAGGTCTTTTGTAATTAATTTACCTTTTTAAATATTGTTAAATTTAGGAACGTGTTAAATTTAAATTTTTTCCTTGATATGAAGAATCATTTGGAGGCATAAATTCTAGTGTTCTTCTGCTGCTTGTCAAAACTTGATGAGATTTCAATTACAGTTTTATTTTGAGCCGGCGGCTAGAGTCTTCTGATTACATTTTTTGGATCTACCTACAATTGCCCCCTTTTAAGAAGGGGGCAATTGTTAAGTAGATTAAAATAACGCATTTTCGACCAATCAAGTTGCAGCAAAATTCGAATTTAAAAAAGTTCTTGTGCTGTTTACTGCTTTTTTTATTAGGGGTGGCACTTCTTAAGTAGATACCAAAAGGAGGGCAATTGGAGGGCAATAAGATGAATTGAGAAATCATCCTGGTTTTTATCTTGATTTTTTTTACAGATACGTTTTCCGCTAAATTGGCAAAAAAGCGAAGGCTTGAAAAACTCATTACAATTTTGAGAAACAAATCAGATGCACTCGAAACTTTATTTCTCAAGTCAAAGCTGACAAATCCTCAGCCAAGCACAACATTTAAACAGAAAATTTCATCCATTTTTTTGCCCAAAATGTTCAGCTGGTTGTTTTTTGCCTCTTGTCTTATAACAATTTGATCAGCTGCAGATTTTGAAAACACCGCAGCAAAGTTCAAACTTCCTTGCCGTTTTTTTGCATCATTGTACAAACTGCTTTCAGGTTGATAAGTTCAAGATTGAAGCGGTGTCTCTGGGTCGCATCAAGAAGATAGTTGTCGGACACAATTCAACAAAACCAGGTAAAAATCACCAGTGCTATAAGCCGATAAAGCATAAGGCAGATGAAGCAAAAAACCGAAAAATACCCTGCCTTTCATATGATTTTTAGCTAGTTACCAAAAAAATTCATCATAGCCAAAAAGTGTCCTTAAATAAAGGGCAGAAATTTAATTTTTCGGTCTATTGGAACACTTTTCGGTATTCGGTATAACTCTATATCGGCTTGTTGCACTAGCACTAAACACCAAAATTAGTATGTTTTTGGAAAACTTTCTTTGTTTTTGAAATTTGTTGATAAAATGTAAACAATTTACCTGTTCGCTTGAATAAATGGTTTTTAATTAACATTCAATTATGTTGGTAAACACTATTTTAAAAAATGTACATTTTTTTGATACTTTGAAACGGACCACAACTGACAACGAAAATCGAAATTTAACCTCAGGGCTGAATTTCGGATTTTCTCGAGTTGGAGAAAGGCGAGACGGGTTGCGTTTAAAAAAAAACGTTTACGAAAAGTTTGTCCAACTTTTAATTTCAGGTCGACCTTGAAAAAAGAAAAGCCTGTCTTGACCAAATTTTCTGAGCAGGAGGAAAACTTATGATGCGCTCACCCTCGGCAAAATTAGTATATATTGGCGCCAAAGGCGCCTTTATAAAATTTTAGGGTCGTTCACTAAAAGTTGGATACGTTGAATTAGTACCAAAGGGTATCCCTCGGGTAATCCGGGGGTTAAACCCCCGCACCCCCTATATCCCCTAATGGATATCCTGTTTTCTTTTATGCAGTACTAACTGCAGAAATGAACTTACAATAGAGCTTTACAGTTCCTTTACTCAGATTCGGTATTAGGCTCTTTTTCCAACCCCTCCCCCCACCAAACATAAGCAACAATTTTCAGGCGTAATGAGGTATTTTAAAAAGTTACATGTGAAGACCAAATATGTTTGATACTCGTAGAAAGCGACGAGGTTGCTAAATCACCGCATCTCAATAGCAAGGCCCGAATGCTACAATTCAAACATTTAGATCTCCAAAAATTTCAATAATAGATCCAACGGTTCTTATACGAGAAAAAAATTGCGATGCTTGCTATACGCATGCAAAATTACGTTGCGGTACAAGAAAAAAGTTTTTGCTGAATTACTGATTGTTTAACCATGAAAAAATTGAGCCAGTATGATTTTTGGAAACTGTATTTTTTCATATATTTTTTGATTTATTATATAAATCGTTGGAACTAAGTTTTTGCTATTCGGTTCCGAGGGATCTCAAAGTTATGTTTTTAGGTTCAACTTTTACAAGTCGTTTAAAAAACCAAGTGAATCATGATAATGACATGAGAATTGAAAATCAAAACTATACGAACATATCAGTATGAAAAGGACCACCATACCAGCTGTTGGTCCATATGGGAACAACCCCCCCCCCCCTAAATTGACCAAGGAAACAATCTCCCCCTACAAATAAGATGACAAACTCAATCAGTAAGGCCTGTGTGCTATGCTCAAATCTGATTAGCTGGAAAATATATTTTTTAACCTAGTGAACAATGATATCCCTTATTTGATTTAGGGACTGCGGTCTGCATTTAGACACTGTAGTAACCAATCAGAATCGAGACAAGGAAGATATGAAATTCATTTCTTTCTTGTTTCGATTCTGATTGGTTAATACAGCGTCTGAATACCCGTTTGTCTATATACTGTTATGTAACCTTGATTTAGGAAGAAGGTAAATGACTTGGTTCCAGCTATTCTTACGGTGGCGTGTCATGGAGCCAAATACCCGGATAGCCGAAAAATAAAGTCGTTCCCGGATAGCCGGAAAATAAATTCGTTCCCGGATAGCCGAAAAATAAATTCCTTCCCGGATAGCCGAAATTTCGGATCTTCTTAAAAAATTATCCCCATTCTACCCCCTACCATTTCTTAATAGGTTGGTAGATTCGTTACTAGGTACCATTAGGTACCATAGGGGAGAGAATAGTTAAAGAGATGCTACAAACTTACTTAAAAATATCGTTTTTTATTTGGTGTACCCCCTCTCTCTACCCCCCACCCACACTTAGTCCCATCATTTTTCCTTCCCGCTCCCTTCCCCTCCTCCCAATTACCCCCTCCCCCTACCAACATTTAGCCCACCATTCCACCCCCGGCTATCAAAAAAATAAACAATTAAGGGCCCCCAACCAAAACTATTATCGTTTATAATTATAATGATGGGGCGGATCTATGATTTTCTCGAGGGGGGGAAATATTAAAAAAAAACAGGCATAAATGCCGTTTTCGGGATTTTTTTGAAAAATTTTGACCAAAAAATTGCGTTTTTCAGCGCGAAATCTTGTTTGAAATTAGCATATATTGAAAACTTTTAGAGTTTGTGGGCCGAAAATGGATATCATTGAACATACAAAAGAGGGACCCTTTGTTTGGCGCGGGGGTCGAGTCCCTGTATTAGTCGGATTTTTGTTGTTAATTAATTCAATGAGAGTTTATAAAAATTAGCCAATCCAATCTCTTAAAAATGTTCAGAATTTTGATAGCTAACAGTCTGCAAAATTTGAGGCTTTTTTTGTCCAATCAAAATGCGTCAAAATTTAGTGAAGAGTTTCCTGATTTTATTTAGTTAAATGCGGACGTATTTAGTTTCTTCGGCTACCTGGGAATGAGGCTCCGTGGGTACGCACCATTCTTACCACTTGATTTTTTATGTTTATAGATATAACATACTAATTTTGCAAAGACGTGGCTTTGATCACGTTTTTTCGCAAGGCAGCACCTGGCTTTTTTGACGTGAAAGCAAATTCCTATACAAGACATGGCCAAACGGCTTAAAAACCAATTTTGCGACTGCAAATTGAAATAAGCTAGACTTGAAAAAGGTTTCCTCTTCCCAAGACCAAAAACCAAGAGTTGAGAATTTTAATTTCTCCTATCAAATATAATAAATGTTTATCCGATTAGAAACTTCATCGCAATGTTTATGATAGATCCTGATAAAAAACAAGCTGGTTTTCTATACTTTTTAGCGCGTACTACTTACTTGCGTTCCTCAAAATAGATTTACTTGATACCGCTTTTATGCCGTCATTTATTTGCCATAAAAAATTGATCCCGCAAAGCCAAAAAAAATTGTTCCTAGATAACCGAAAGGAAAATTTGTTACCGATAGCCAAAAAAAAATGCGCTTAAAAAACCGCACGTATATTCAGGCCAGGGGCGGATCTAGGATTTTCTCGAAGAGGGGGACGGATGTTCAAAAAGTTTCGGAAATTTTGTCGACTTTTTTTTAGGTTGACCAAATATATTTTTCGAGCTCTCACAAAGTACTAAAAGGTCCCTGCTTTGGCCTAAATTTCTGCGCCGCAAGCAAAATTTTGAAAATAAAAGTGCCATAATAGGCGTTTTTAAGCACGTTTTGGAAAATTGTGACCAAAAAGTTGCATTTTTTTGGCCTGCGCTCCCCCCTCAAAATGAGTACGTATTGGCGCCAAAGGCACCTTAAGAAAATTTCAGGGTCCGTCGCCAAAAATTCATATTTAAAAATTTGGCAACGGGAGGTACCTTTGGGTCGGCAGGGGGTCGAATCTCTGAGGAGGGAGCGTCCCCCCCTAAATCCGCCCCTGAGATAACTTATTAATAAAATAGGAAGTTACATTTGAATCACCATTTAGACATCACGGAGATTTCAAACGCTTATGTTTACATATTCGTTCAGTCTTAAGCTTTTTGTTTGTTTTCCCTATCATTTGGTCATCAAACGTTGCGATGATTTTTTCATGGTTACGGAAAAATTTTTACAACCAAACGCTATTACGCTTGCTTTCGATTTATTGTTCCGACTTTCGATACGAAAGTAACGGAATATTTGTGCTCGGGGTGGGTTTTTTTTCTTCAGACAAATTTCGACTTTTTAACTAGCCATTTTTGACGGAAATAATTTATCATTCGAAAGGTATTGTTGTCTTGAGCTCAAAATTGAAAAGATATTTCAGCTGTGATCATTTTTCCTAAAGTTATGGGGGTTTAAAGGTTGCAATTTTGGCCAATTTATGACAATTAACGCGCGATATATTTTGCGCTATTAGCGCGTAAGCGGAGATTTAATCCGTCTTATAAATCGTTCCAAATTGGTTGAAAGAAGCTTATTTGCCATAATTGATTTGTTACAAAGAGCGAAATCTATTCTTTTGTACTTTTTATGGCGTGTGGTCTGGATGATTTCTTTAAAAAAATCAATTTTTAGAAATTTTTGTTCCATTTATTTTGTTACATTTAACTTTTTTATGATACTACTGCTCCATAAACTTTAAAAGGCAGTCGGAACATTCAGGCTTCGCCCTGATACGAGCAGTCTTGTCTATGTTTAAATGCTTTGTTTTTCATTCTGCATCAGAAAGATAATCTGCACAAGTTTATTTCAGTCCAAAAGTATCTGTAGAATCAATGGACAAAAATGTGAAATCAAACGATAAAAACTGTGAAAAACCTCACTGGAATGCTGGAATTTACCATAATTAAAGCAAATTCTATTCGGCTGCTGCAAAACACGTGTTTTGGCCGTCGAATCGAATTTGCTTTAATTATGATGGATTCCTGGATTCCAGAGAGGTTTTTCACTGTTTTTATTGTTTGATTTCTTAATTGTTGCTGAAATCCAGAACCACAAATCTGTGGCTGGCTTTTTTATTGTCAACTTTTGTCTCTAAAATCCAGGTACAAAATCCTTAACTCATGTAAAAGATCTGTCTTTAGAATCCAGATACAAGCGAGCTCATATTGTGATCTGATATAAAACCAAGTTTGGCGTCGTAATCTCGATGCATACTTTTTTATGTACGATTTGTTATAGTTACTGTTTAGATTTTTCATACGTTTCTGCTATTACTCTCCAAACCATCACGCTTTAATGTTCTTACGTTATATTTTAACAATTTTTTGAAAAACCGAACGCGTTGAATCAAATCATGATAAAGACATGAGACTTGAAAATACAAACATCTAGCCATACTGTCAT